CAGCGCGGGGCTCCGGGCCGCCCTGCCCGCTCCCCTGCCCCGGACTCCCGTGTGCGCCCGGACCGATCTGCTCTCTGCCTGCTGCCGCTTCAGGCCTCGTGCTGCTAAATGCCCGTAGACGGGGCTGCTGCGGGGAGCGGGGCTCTGCTGGGATCTTGTCTGTCATTATTTTGCTTTTTATTGCAGTGCAGAGATTAGTCATTCAGAAGGGGTCTGAATCAGCCGAGCTTTTCGATGCTCACTCTAGAAGGCGGATTCTTGCCCGTTTCCGTGGGTTTGTTGCTGCTGGTGGCTGTGTGAAGGGTTGGCACGACCAGAGCGCTGTTATTCACGTGGCAGTGTGGCCAGACCAGGGCCCGGGTCCTGCACCGTGTTCCCCGCGAACGCGTGGCCCTAAAGCGCCCCGGGGAGCTGGGGACGCGCCGGGCGGCGAGGCCGGGCCCTGGGGGTGCCCTCGGTTTGCTTGGGTTTATCTCCATTATTTCCTTTTCAGAATCACAGACTTAAAGTGGTGCGTTCTGCTTCAGCAGATTACGTGGGGGTTAAAGCAGCCACGTGCCCGGTCCTGCTTATTCCTGGAGCGGCAAAACCAGAGGGACGTTCTGGGCTGCTGGCTACTCCGGCTAACCGCCGGCCTTGGCCCGTGCGGCTGCGACGGGGTYGGGAAGAGCCTTAGCTCTGCCTCGCACGTGGGCTTAGTTCTGCTTTAACGCAGGCTCAGCAAGGCCCGCGTGACTGCGGCTAGTAGCAGAATCACATCTCTGCACAGGGGTGAGACGTATATATATATATATACACACACACACACACACATATATATTTATATATCAGTTAAGGTTTATATATTTGTAGTTACCAATCAGAAACTTAGTCACCATTCCCTAATGTTGGTGTTCTGTGCTTGTCACATGTCCCCTGAAATGCTAATTATTTGTTACATATGTCAAAGAACTGGCCTGATAAATGACTTTGCTCTGGTTTGCAGCATGAGATTACGCTCCAATTTATTTACTTTTCACTTAAAAGAACTACAGGGCTTTACTACTGTCAGAGCAGTAGTATTTTAAAGCTTTCTTAATTATTTCTCAAACTCACTTTCTTGGTTGAACAATGAATTAGGAAAGCAAAAAATGCGGTATTTTGCATTTGATGCCTTTATGATGAATAAAAACAAAATGCAAAAAGACTGCGGATTACTACCCAACCTTCATAAAAAAATTTCAATGGATACAGCAARCACTGCTGACCATTTGCACTTCCTAATGAATTTTGTGTTTTAAGTAGATGGCAATTAAACAAAGCTATAGCTGTCTAAACGTCTGGGTCCYGATTGCAAAGATTTCTACAACTATGGGCAAATTGTCGTAATTTTCTTCCCTCGCCCACATTAGCCCTTTTTCTTAATAAACTCCATGTACCAAACGGAAAAGGCTGTTGGTAATAACACTAAACAATTTGGATTTTATGACAAGCATTGGATTATTCAAATGGCAGACATGCTGTAAGAGAGATGACCCCTTCCAGTAAGGGGTGATTGCCCTCATGTAGATGGATTTGGGGGAGGTGTCAAAATGCTCTACTCACGTCACCTGTTTCAGGGGAAGATGCTCCGAGGGTGACAAGGATCAGGCATTGACATCGCTGCTCGCGTGCAAGTTTGCAGGGCACTGAGGAGCTTTCTCCTGCAGCCATGGACGGCAGCCACCTCTGTGCTTCTTGGTCGCAAATCTGAATAATAATGTGGTTTAAATGCTAGGAAGARTAGTGTTTGCGTGTGGGAAAAAAAAGGTGGGGAAAGGAATGATTTGTGCTTAACCTTTTTGAGCTGCTTTGCACAAATGTAAGCACGGTCACATTTATTTAAAAGCAGGTGTTCAGTCAACAGTCTTTATTGATTCATTTTGGAGCTGTTACACGCTGAGACCAAATAGGATACAGAAATACTCCTTTCACAGATAGATTTGCTGATACTTTCTTACCTAGCTGCTGAAATATAATAGGGGAAAGAAGGCACGTGAGTGCGGAGCACAGTGCTGGCCACAGCCGCGGCTCTACATTCAGGAGCRGCTACCAGATACCGGCCCCGGGCTGGTGACTGGCTCAAAGGGAGCTGTTTTGTTGTCCCAAGGCAGTGCAGAGGGCAAGGGGCACCCTCGCTAGCTTCCCATCGTGAATTCATCCTGCTTGGGTGCTTTTCTGTCTGCAAAAGTGCTTATTTTGAACGCTGTCTCCAGGTAAATAACTACGTCTTGGGCCCTTCAAGGCACAGGGGCTTCTCTGACCTCTCTGGTCGTCTGCCTTATCTGCAGGCCCTGGGAAAACACAGGAAACTACGAATACAGTGAGGTTTCAGGAGCTGTTGACATACAGGCGGAAGAAGGTTTGTRGATTTCTTCTGCCTGTTGCCATTACTCAGCAAGATAAAAAAGCATATGCAATGACAAGACAGGCAGAAATGTTTTTTCAAACATCTGAGCTGGCCAGCTGTGACCATCAAACCTGGTTCTTCCCCGCCGTGTTCTATTGAGCAGTAATTTACCGTTAACTTTAAATTTCCCATCATCTACCTTATCTATACCATATCTTTTTTTTTTCTCCTAAATTACTGTGTGTTTTCTGTTTTAATACAGTTCAGTAGCTTAGTTATGGACAGCTTGGCATAACCTTSTAAGCGTGAAGGTGCAAGTTAATGTTCAGAGGACTGTAGGTTTATAAAGAGTTTTATATAAAGAGCCTTGTACTTAAATCAATAGCTTAACTCACTTAGGAATCTATCCCTATCTGTTATCAGATTTAGCCAAGTATCAACTTTAAACACTGCCCCAGAAAATGTCACTTGACTAGTTTGCCAGATTAGTGTGTTCTTAATTTATACCCATGTGACGATTTATAAATGACATGATAGTAAAGTTTCTTCAAATGTTTCTCTGTTACTAATGTAAAAAATAGTGAATTTAATTTATTTTTTTGGATTATATGGCAATTTAAGTGATCAATTTCTCTTTAAATGTGCAGAATTTCTACTGAAACCTGCTGGGTGCGTGCAACTACCTAGATGATATTTGGAAGATACGGACGGTCTAGGGGCAAGGAGAGGACCGAGTAGTCAGGGCCCCTTTTGCCTCCTTCCCTGGCGAGCGGAGCTCCGTGGGCCGGGCGCTGCTGGCGTCCCTGGGACGCCCTGTCCTGGGCAAGAGGAGCACAAGAGTCAGGGAGCGGGAGAGACGCTCCGAGCTCGGGGACCCCGTGGCCGGAGCCGAAGCGAGGGCTGCGTTCACGTGCAGCAAGTGCCCCGAGGAGCGGGCCTGGGAGCCGCGCAGGGGAGGGAGAAGAGAAACCCAGCTTGTGCAAGGCCTTGCGTTAGTCTCCTGGAGAAGGGTGATGTGAAAGGCAAGCAGAATCAGTCCTTACAAGCTGAAAAACTTGTGTTTTTCAATATGCAGTAACGCAAGCTTGTTCTTCTGCTGCATACGTGGGAGGACAAAGCCAGGCCTGTGGCACCCATGGAAGTGAAGGGCAAAGCTGAGCACTCCCAGGGGAGCAGGAAGAGCTAAACCCAGCTTGATAGTTCCCGTTAATTTCCAGCTCAAATTTCCAGTTCCTGTTTCTGCAGAAATAGGCAGTTTGTTCAAGAAAGGCATGCAGAGTTAAACCTGGCGTTCCGTGCGTGGAGCTTCGCTTGGTGCTTTGGGGCAGTGTCCATTCGCTGCTGCGGTTTGTCGTCACTGATGTACAAAATATGTATATTGATTGTTTACAGACATGAAGTGAGCGCGGGGTTCGGCAGGGGGTGTATTTGGTGTTCACCAAACACGGAGAAGCTTGTGGGTGGTAGACGAGCCCTTCGTCTGCGAGGATGTGGTACTTGCGGTACTTTCTGAAAATGAAGCTTCTGGTGAAGGCGTTGCGGTACCGCTGTAAGAAACTAGAAGGAAAGAGGTAGCTCTTCTTTTTGTTCTCCCTCCCAAGGGTTGATGCTTAATAGCCTAAGAGTTATGTTTTTCCCTCTTAGAYAAAAGTTTGAAATTTGTTTGTATGTAAACCTTCAAAATGTATTTTGATATTAATCTTTTTAATACTTTCTCTTGCGTTTTTCTATATGGAGAATATACAGTGGGATATATTTATACATGCTAGCCCTTTTGTATGTTGTAATAACTTTTTCTTTCCTTGTGAAATTCGTTTTATTGCTGAGTACGTATCTATAGAGATGTCAAATTTAAAGTTTTTAGAGTAGTTTGGTAAAGCGTTAGGCTTATAGCAGGACTGCCAAAAAGAATTAGTTGTGTGCTGTGGTAGAGCAGCATCTATATAGATTCAAAATGCARTTACTTGCGTGACTGGGGTAAGCATAAATATGCTTATATAAATTGTGTGGCTTGTTCCCTGAACTATGAACAGTAAGAAATGACATGGATGAGAATAGAGGCTTTTATGCTGCTCCTGCAGCGGATGTACTCCTAGGGTTCTTCTTTTTTCCAGCTTTAGAACTATTGAGGGMTTATTGTATTATCCTTCTTTTAAAAAAATACCAATTCACAGACTACATTAATGGTCCAATATCTCTAACTATCAYGGGAAAAAGCCAAACAGACTCTCAAGTGTGGTGAGAGCAGCGGCTTCCAGCTGGCTGCAGAGCCAGGGATCCCATAACCGCGGGAGAAGGAGCCCACGGGATGCTCCCGTGCGGGGAGACGGCGGCCGCAGCGACGCTCGGGCTGCCTTTCCGCACGGGGCTCCCTTGGCAGTCTGCGGTAGTTGAACGGGAGGGAATTATTTTGGAATGACTTTGGGAAGAGCGCTTTGGAAAGGGAGCTTTAATGCAGTTGTTATTTATGGACTTTAATACGAGTATCTAAAAGAAACTTTCACCTCCACATGTTTCTTGGGATGTGTTTTTTRTTTTAGGAATACAGAAATCGGGTAGAAAAAGACTTGAGTTGTTTTTACATGATTTCATTTTTGTATGGTGTCTGCACGTGCTTTATTTCTGCCTTTCATGGTTTTTCTTCAGGTTAAACCACTGTAGATCAAGTAGTTTTATAACAGTAGCTTTCCAGCTAGCAGGTAGGCAATCCTTAGTAAGGTCACGGTGTCCCTAAAGAGTTTGTAGTTGTGCCCTGCTCTGTATTGTTCCAGACAGGGAACAATTGATCTGCTATTGCATAACAGTTGACAATACATTTGCAGGCGTGTTTTAAAAATACTGATTTTACTGTAGCTTGTAGAATGTTATAATAGATCCCATGCTGATACTTTTCATTAAATAATTGCTCTTTGCAAAACAATTCCTAATGGGATACAAGAAATGAGCTGATATAAAACGGCACTTCATAGCGAATAGGTGATGTTATCATTTCCATGCTTTGGATTTTGTGAAAGTGTCTATGCAGAATTCTGTGGCTTGGTGCATCCTGCAGGTCCTGCAGCCCCTTCACCAGGACCGGGCTTTTTCTCCCGCTTGGCCGTGTCCGACGCTTCCCTGCTCGCCGTGCTGCCCTTGGCTGCCCTCCCTGCCCCTTGCCACATCCGTTATCCTATTTGATTCCTCTGCCTGCAGAGGTTGGTTGCTCTGGAAATGCAGCAGCGTTTGTGCAAACCTGTATGAWATTCCTTTCTGGAAGAAATTGCACTGTGGTATTTATATAGATGAGAACGTGTGTTGGTCTACATGTAGCATAGGAAAAAAATATACTGTATGGATAAAAATAATACTTGTGCTTGGAAATAGAAGCTTTTTTTGCTGCAGAAGCACATGCTGAAGCACAGAGGCCATGGCACACGATAACTTGCCATAGCTCCAACTTGCTGTGCCTTGGGAGAGCAGCAGCTGACCTCTTGAAGCTGGATTAGGAGACCACAGGAAAAGTCAGGCGTTCCTCTCATATTTTCTCTTGCCGGATGGTTGCACTTGCTATTTTTCAGTTATTTCTTAGATTCTGGAATGGACCTTGCGTATGTTGCTTACTTGGCTTGCCATTGCCGAGATCTAGCTCTAAGTGAGGTGCCAGCGCTCTCATTTGCTGCATTTGGAGCAGTGCAGCCCGGGTGGCCTRGAGCGCCGCGGCGCTGGGTGCAGCGGCGAGCGCGGTGCCTGGCGGCGAGCCGGGCGGCCGGGGTGGCGGCGGGGACGGAGCCGAGCCCGGAGCCGAGCCCGGAGCTGATCCCTGCGGACCTGAGAGCTGATCCCCGTGGAGCTGAGAGCCGAGCCCGTAGCCGGGAGTGGAGCCCGGAGCTGATCCCCGCGGAGCCGAGAGCCGAGCCTGCGGCTGGGGTGCCTGGGCACCCAGGGCAGGCGGGGAGGTGGCCGCGCTCCAGCAGCGCCCTGGCCCCCAGCGTCTCTCCRGGCTGAATCAGCCTGCGACACCACTGTTGATTGCATGGCTTTGCTTAAAACTTTTATTCCTCTCATAATGGAAGAGTACGAAACAATGCATCCTCAGCGAGAGCTCAGCAGCCCTCAGGAAGGACACAGTTTAAAGTATATGCATATGAAGAGTGCAAGTAGTGAAATATGGGCAGGTAACTGTTGGGGAGCTGGGCTCGCGGGGGTGTCTGCATCGCTGCRCGGGTGCCTGTCCCCTCTGTCTGTAGTGGCACTGCTGGTGGTGCTGGGCAGGATTTTTGTTCTCCCTGCGTCATATCCCTTGATGTGACGTGTTCTGATGTGGTTACATGTTCTGATTCCCTTTCCAGGTAGACACAGAACTAACTCTTCAGCCACTAGTGCTGGGACTGGAAGGGTACCGTCAATGTAACACCAAGGCTCAGGAACCAGAAACAAGAGAGTCTGAGGCTTGCATGTGACTTTAATTAGACTGTTTCTGTTTCTAGTTGCCTTTTGTTTGTTTGTTCAGGTAGTGCCTCTAGCCTTATGTGAAAGGGTAAAAACAATCGAGTAAAGAGAATTAATGAAGGGATTGCAGTAACCTTGAACTGCTCTCCAGCTCCGACTGCAGCCAATGCAGRATATTATGTATTCCAACAGGATTTGACATTTAAAAGGTTAGGCTGTGTAACACTGTCCAAAAATACTTTTTCAGTTAAAGAATGTCTTGTGCTGTATAGAAAGCACCAGGCCCTGTTTTTGTCCGTCCTGGGCAGGAGAGCTGTCCCAAGCCTGGGACCAGGAGCATTTGCTGCTCCAGGATTATTTTAAGAAGGTTTATTACGGGGGGAAGTGTCTGTGTAAGCAGGAAAAGGCCACTTCGAAAAATCTCTTTTGCAAAACATGTGAGAAACTAACGCTGAAATTTTGGTGCTGTCACAGCTCATTATATTTTAACTGCCTGCTTAAGGAATATGCCGTTGCTCACTTGCTGCGTTAGGCGGGAGGAGACGCGTGTTTGTTGGGGATTGATGGAGGAGGCGCGTTGTGTCCATCCCGTGTCAAACCGTCCCGCGCGGGGCCTGACGCTTCTCTCCTTGGCAAAGCGGCAGGAGCRCGAGCAGGATGGCGGGCAACAGCCTGGTGCTGCCCATCGTGCTGTGGGGCCGCCGCGCGCCCACGCACTGCATATCCACGCTGCTGCTCCTCGACGACGCCTCCACCGTCGTCACGGGCTGCCACGACGGGCAGATCTGCCTCTGGGACCTCTCTGCAGAGCTCGAGGTGAGTCTCGTCCCCGGGTGTGACCGCTTTTGGTGGCCTGGAAGTGGTTAACGTTGCCGCCAAAGGGATTTTCATCCGTGGGTATTACAGTGTCAGTATAACCCATTGTGGGGTTGAGGCTCTTCTGCACTCTGTGCATGTGTTCTACCTTTGTGTTCTGCCTTCCCCTCCTAAAATGCCACCCTGGGGCTTCCAGAAGTGACTAGCTCACGTTAGAAGATAGGCTTTCAATCCTTGGCTTTGCTGCTGCTGTAGATTTTCTTTTTTTGAAGGAATTATTCCCCCTTTTCTGGGCATTGGAGATGCCCTCAACTGATAGTTACTTTCAGGTTTAGTCACCTTTGTGAATGACATTTCTGCAATGACGTGACTGTAGATAGAGGACTTTGTAAGGTTATTTTTATTTTATCCAAGCTCCATTTTCCATGACAACTGAACGAGAAGAGGCCCTGCTGCTAGAGGTGGAGATTGTTGGGTAGTTATTGGGTATCAGTTTCCGCCCTTGAGTTGGTATCTCGAAGGGTCCATCAGCAATTGGTCTGCATACAAATAGTTTTAAACCTTTTGAATGGAGGAGAAAGAGTCAAAGATTATACTGAAAAATCTCAATCTCCCCAGTTACTCCCATAAATTATGTTAGCGTCTAATACATTTAACAAGTCACAACTGGAGAAAAGGAGTATTTCTTTGTAGAAAGAGCAAATAAATAAAGGGCAGTTTGATTGGAGTTTTATCTAAAGCTATTTGTAAATGTAAACTGAACTTGATTTGGGGAAAGATTATTGCTGCAGGTTAGCCAAAACTTTCCTTTATTTTTCCTCAAGCTGGCATTACAGTGGTAGTTAGAATGGATTCTGTTGCACATTGTACCAGCACTATGCAAGCATTTCTAGGATTGCCTTTCTACAGCTATGCTAATAAAGTATATGTCTATGTATATATAAAAACACATTTGTATATGTAACTTTATGTATATCATATAGATAATGTATATGATATACATAATGTATATGTGTATTTGTATAACAGAAATTTGGAATGTGTGTGTTGTAGGTAAGCAATAATGCCTGTGTCATTTTCGCTTTCTGCTCCACGCTCTGACTCCAGATCAATCCCCGAGCCCTGCTGTTTGGCCACACCGCCTCCGTGACTTGTTTGTCCAAGGCGTCTGCCTCCAGCGAGAAGCAGTACATCGTGAGCGCCTCGGAAAGCGGGTGAGGCTTCCGCACACGTTATAATGCACATCAGTTAAGTAATCAAAATGAAGGGTATAGAGGAGATTGGGTTGCTTCCATTCATTTTTGATCCTTTCATTCCGAGTTTCTCTCTGTGCTGTTTTTCACTCACCTCCTGCCTAGCACACTCGCATGTAGCCCAAGTGATGGGGCTGCTCCGGTGCCAACCCCGGGCACGGAGCGCGCGGGAGTTCCCGGCCCATGGGAGGATGCGCCTGGGCTCACGGAGCGTCGCCGCTCTTGCTTCTTGTGCCGCGGGGTTCGTGGCAGGATGCAGCACAGTTGTGTACAGAGTAATCTCTGCCGCCCTGGATGTAATTTGTTTATGTTTGGATGGATAATCTCAGTTATTTATAAATGTTTGTGTGTGAGTGGCTGAAGAAGTGTATGACGCTGTCAGCTGCAGTGCAGATACTTGYGTGTTTCCTTTTGCTTGGGTTCGGCTGCGGACGGACACCTGGGTCTTGCCCCTTTCCCTGCTCCTCCAGAGCACCTGCTTGTATCGGGACGTAAGCCTGTTTCTGCCCATGGTTGGCAGAGGATGATTCCTGGGCCTCTGAATTAAACCTTAGTGTTCACTGCCACGTGATTGAAATGTTCGTTTTGGTAATAGGCTTCTTCCTTACAAGTATGGAAAAAATTGGCTAATCTTTGACAGCTCAGAGGAGGCACTGGGAGTGTGGAATAATTAGAAATACTTGTGAATACTTGCTCTAGGTTACACACTCACATTTGCTTAATACTGGTGGCTTATGCTGAACATATGATGAGCACTTACATATTTCCCTTCATAATTGTGCTAGCGAAGCAGAGTTTGTTTAGATTACAGTGGAAGGACTAGAAATTCAAGTAAACTTTGAGTTTCCTTTATAAAAATATAACTCGTCTAGTTCCTAGCTGTGGTTTAAATTTCTCTGAATATAAATGACTCCTAAATCCATTCAAAATATTTCATTTTTCCAAGTGGTTGTAATCTGTCTTTTGCATTTTAGGGAGATGTGTCTGTGGGATGTGAATGATGGGAGATGCATAGAGTTTACCAAATTAGCCTGCGCACACACTGGCATCCAGGTTAGTGCTCTGTGTAGGCTTGAGAAGCCCTGCTATGTGTTGTGCAGCAGGGAGGCTGTAGCTCCCATAAAAACAAGGCTTTTTGGGGAGGAGAAGCTTGACAATGGCATTTTCCAAGCTGCTGCAATATGCCCATGTAGCTTGTGCTGTGTTCTGCATCATCAAACGCCCCTGAGCTGGGCATGTGCCTTACTGCAGCTTTGGGAAGGGAAATGCCGGGATTCAGTATGGGAAAGGCTGGAGAGGGTGGAGGCGGTAAGAGCAGCAGGGCCGGGGAGGTGGGCGAGCGAGCGCGGCCCAGGCCGGGAAGGGCTCCCTGGGGACACTGGCATGCACAGGATGGCACCAGTGCAGCTGGGCGATCCCTGAGCAGATAGCCATTAGAAYGTGTTTATGAAGTTAGGATTTTGATAAAAACAAAGGATTTGATGCCGCTCATGAAGCAAAAGCTCTGTACTTTGTTAACATCCCTTCAGTTCTACCAGTTCACTGTTGGGAACCAGCGTGAAGGGAGGCTCTTGTGCCACGGGCACTACCCAGAAATTCTCGTTGTGGATGCTACCAGCCTTGAAGTTCTTTACTCTTTACTATCAAAGATATCTCCTGACTGGATCAGCTCCATGAGTATCATTCGGTCCAACAGAACCCAAGGTAATTATTTTTATTGCTTTTGTTATGACTTTGCAAGAGAAATMGTATCCAAAGGTCCCAGCAAGTGCCAGCTGCTCTGTGATCCTGAGGCTGCTTCAATATTTGTGCAGCAAGAAGACCTGATAATCTTTAATATTTTTAGTGTTGTCTCYGTTGCTGCTTCATCACGTAAGGAGGGTTGTAACTCTGGTTATATTTAAACACTTTCTCATGAACAGAACCTCAATTCTAACCACATTCGGTGTGTGTGCATCCACATGCACAACAGGTAAATAGTAAATAGTGAGTAGTTTTGTTATCTCATTCAACATATGCCTGTGTTGAAACCTGGAGAACAAAGTGATGCCCTGAGAATGGGGAAAGACTTTGGGATAATACGGCTAGCCCAAGCATCCAAGCTGACACGAGCCTGGAAGGCTGTGAGCACGCTCAGTGCTGTGGTCTTGCTCACGTCGTGCTTAGGATGCATCAAGATCACCTAATGATCGCCCTAGTGATTAGTAGCTTTATCAAGGGAACTGCCCTAGTGCTTCAGTGGGTGCTGTGGGAGGTACGCAAGGAGTTTGCTGCTCACAACAGGATTATGTGCCCAGAGCAGCTCGCAGAAATACTGCAGTGCAGGGACTGCTGCTGGACAAGGAGAGAAGCCTGAGAACCACAGAGGGAGGACCTGTCCCCCAGTGCGAGCTTAGTGGAGAGACACGAGTGGGCTCTGTTTGGAAGAGGGTTAGCTGGTGTGATCTGAAGCGATGCCCACCCACAGACGCGCTTTGCGCTGCGGCTCCTGGGCCGGGTTCCTCCCGGGGCCGCCTTTGCCTTGCTCGGCTGAGCCTGCCCAGGAGCTTGGAGAGGCTTGAGGGCCGGGCCAGCCCGCACGCCAGACCTATGCCCAGAGCCCTGGCCCGGGAGGCTCCGTAGGTGACTGCGAGACCGCCAGCGTGGCTGCGAGGGGCCTGTCCTGGCCACCTGCTGCCCCCATAAACGTGGACATTGGGATATTCTCACATATCTCCGTACTCGGATACGCACAAACGGGCAACAAAGTGGATAAGCTTTTGTATTTATCCATCTGACTATTTTGTGCTTTCCTCCAGAGGACACTGTTGTAGCTGTTTCGGTGACTGGCATCCTGAAAGTRTGGATCATAACCTCGGACATCAGTCGCATGCAGGTGAGCAAAGGCTGCCAGACTGGGGCTGTGCCACGGATGACTTGCACACGTTTTTCTTGAGTGAAGAAATGTTTTGTTGTTGTTGTTTTGTTTGTTTGTTTTTCCATTTTTTAAGTGGTRCAAGAAGTGATTTTCTTCTATATACATAGTAATGTGATTTTCTTTTACCCTCCAAAAATGAAATTCCTTAATCTTGTGTAACTGATTCTTCAAATTACAAACAAAACTTTGATGCTTTTCTTTTCTTATGAAAAGAAAGCTCCACGGGGGCTGCAGTGCTGAGCAGACGAGYGCTGCTTGATGCTCTGAATCTTTAAATAAAAATAATGACCTCGTGTTTATCCCAGTTAGTGCCTTTTCTGTGGACATATGTCTTGTCTCTCAAGGAAATTTCTTACATGCCACTTTAGTTCTGCTTGTCTGTGGACGTGCCACCCCTGCACGTGTGATAGAGTCAGCAGACTTGACTGTCTGTATCAGGAGGAGGGATGTTTGATGGATGATGTGCCCCCGAGGCCATCACAGTACAACATCACTGTGTGTGTGTGTTTCGGTCAGGGTTTAGAGACATTGCTCATCTGAGGAAAAACTTAAACTAYGGGGAACTGCCTTTCTTGGAAGGTACTGTTTTTATGACAGAAGCAAATACAACTCTGATTTCTAATTCATTTTTTTTTTTTAAATAAGTTGCAGTGAATTAATTSTATTCCTCTTTTTCTTAGGATGCTACCCCAGTATTTGAAGAGGAGTCTAAGCCTATTTATTGTCAAAACTGTCAGAGCATTTCTTTCTGTGCGTTCACCCAGCAGTCGCTGCTGGTGGTGTGCTCCAAGTACTGGAGGGTGAGGAGAGCAGCTGAGTGAAAGCTGCTTCTGTCTTTTTTTCTTCTTTTCTTCTTTTTTTTCCCACTATATATGAATGCCAGTTAAAGCATTTAGACCAAGAAGCTTATRCCTATACAGTTTAAGCTGTAGAGTTCATTGAGTATAATCCCGTGAAAGTATATTGCCTTGCAGTGCAGGGAATATTATTTCAACAAATCAAGGCCTATTACTTTTACCTGGATAAAATATATGATATAATGTAATATATGTAATAATGTAATGTCCAGCTACATTTGTAACATCTCAGGTAGTCCTGTAGTCATTAGGTAGATGTTGTATATTTTCCCATAAATTGTGTTTACCTTAAGTAAATACTGTTTGAAGGTGATTTAATATGTCTGCACTGAAATAGTGAAATGAGCTGCTGTCCGGGCATTTTAATCTGCAGCTGGTTAACGACAAACATCGCTGTCTGCTTGCAGGTGTTTGATGCTGGCGATTATTCCCTCTTGTGCTCAGTCCCTAGTGAGAACGAGCAGACCTGGACTGGGGGGGACTTCGTGTCAGCTGATAAGGTGATTGTGTGGACAGAAGATGGACAGAGCTTCATCTACAAACTGCCAGCCAGGTACTCAGCGTGGAAACTGCCCACCTCTTTATTTGCTGGGGACAGGGRGAACCAAAGAGGCTTTAATATCTTTGGCTTGTGTTTAGTTACGAGATTATGGGAAACTATGTAGATATTAATATTCCATGCACATGTTTTGTGTGAGTCCCCAGCGTGTATCACGTTGAAGTTCCCACCATCTTCTGACTGTAGTGTAACTCTTGTTCACATCAYGGTGGTGGCTGTTGGATAATGTGAAATGGGAAAGGTGCATTTTGCTGTTGAATAAGTGGCAAAAGCAAATAGAAAAAATTTGCTGCTGTTTCTTCCTGAATTTATCTATTCCAAGCCACACATGCTCACCCTAATGCCACCCTGCCTCTTTCCTTCAGCTACCGATGTGTGGGGCCTGAGCTGAGAATGTTGGGGCAGTTGTTGCTGCCTGCGAATTCCCTCTACATTAAAATGATCACGGTGATCTGCAATGCATGATCTGAACGATTGGAAATGTTAAAATGGGAAATGAAAAATGTGAAAGTGTTGGAGGATTGGGGAGGGTTGTTTTTGCCTTTTGAAACTAAAAGGAATCTAATGTGTTCTTTATCTCACCATGCAGTAGTCTCTTTAACGTAGGAATTTTATTCTTTTTTGTTATTTGTAAATCCAGTTGTCTACCAGCTAGCGACTCCTTTCGCAGTGGTGTTGGAAAAGCGGTGGAAAATTTAATCCCACCTTTACTGTACAGTGTATTGGACAGAGCAGATAAGCAGGTAAAATACATTTCCTTTGGTTTCCTTGCCTGTACTTGKTTGTGTTGCTGCACAAAATGTAACTGCATTTCTGTTTCAAAGACCTGAGGCTCACGTAGCTTGCCAGGTSACCTCTGCCTCCCTCTCAAAGTAGACATTAGAGTTCTCGTTCTATCAAAGGAGATATGTAGGAGAGTGACTATTAAGGACCCCTTGTTTGTGGTCTGTTGTTTCTCTTTTCATATCCACGCAGGGTTAGTCTGTGCTCCAGCCTCTCCAGTTCTTTTCTGTTAGCAGCCCAGCTGTGACCAGCCTCGCAGTGAGGCGGTCGCTGAGCAAACAGACCCGTTCAGCGCCGCTCCTTGCGACTGAAGCACTTGGGGGTTTGCAAAGGAAGGAGCATCCTGTTCCAGGGACCCAAATCTTCTCTGAATTACAACCCATTCTTACATGGCACAGTAAACTCTATGTGCTATAAACTAATACAGCTTCAGGCTGTGCAAGCACATCGAGTAATGTACAGTACCATTAATTTATGAATCCTGTTATTACAAAACTGTAGTTGTTTTTGCTTTTTTTTTTTTTTTAATTTTAACCATCTAATTTTGGGGCAAATTTGGACATTGGTATTTTTAAACTTTTTTTTTTTTAATCTTTATGTTGTCCAGGAATTTCTAACATAGATGAGTTAGATGAATGTTGACTTAGTGCATGATTTGCTTGTGCCTGAACTTGTTCTAATTATTATTATTATTTATTTTTTAACAGTTACTGATATGTCCTCCAGTAACTCGATTCTTCTACGGCCGCGGCGAGTTGTTCAAGAAGCTGCTGATCCAGGGGGACTCCTCGGGGCGCCTGTGCATCTGGAGCGTGCCCGAGGCCCTGGAGCAGCGGGACAGCGCGGCAGGTGACCCCGCGTTGCGGGYGCCTTCGGGGGCCGCCCACGGCTCCGCTGCCGCTCTTGCACATGCAGCAGTCACATTTCCCTTGCCTTTAGCCACGTGCTCTCCTAGTTGATAGCTCACAGCGTTTTTCACAGTTGATACCTCGCATAAATGTGCTTTCTGTAGTGCATTTGCTTAATGCACTTCTGCGAGCAGATACACATCGAGAAAGGTGGATTGTATCAAGGAATAAGTTAGACAGTTTTTGGAAATATGTGGATAAACTGAAATGAAGTTTGTTGGCTTGTTTTTGCACTAAATTCCCCTTTGTTTCCAGCACTCAGGCAGTCTCTCAGTGACTTTCAGTTTCAGGCTGCCAACCATTTTTTCCTTCATTTCAGACTTTTTCATCTTAATTACTGAAGTTACAGATGAAATTTGTGCTTCTTGAATAGTATTTTTTGCTTGTTAGCTTATTGTAGGAGTTACAGTAGTTTTAAATACTTGATCAAAAATCTCAGTTTACCCTGAGTACTTTTCAGGCCTCAGTTGTTACCTGCCTTACTTGGCAGCTGCCAGCTGTGTTTGCTGCTGCCTGCGTACGTGGCTTTGTCCTGCAACTGAGCACAAACACATTTCATTTTTCCCACACGTTCTCAGGGCTTCCGTGTGTTCCGCACCAACTCTCAYGGAGTTGATTAATCGGTTTCCAGGATGTGTGTTTTATTTGGTGTAAAGTGCTGCAGCGTGGTGTATTTAAAGGCAGGCTTTGAGATATTCTGCAGGCCTTAGTTCCTTTCCCCCCTCCCCTCTTTCTTCCCTCCAACAGGACTACAAGCAACAACTTCAATATCCCTACAGGAAGCCTTTAATAAGCTGAGCCCTCACCCCGCTGGCATTATAGACCAGCTAAGCTTAGTACCAAACGTGAAGGAGCCGCTCAAGGTGACGGCCAGCGTGTACATCCCGGCGCACGGGCGCCTGGTGTGCGGCCGCGAGGACGGCAGCATCGTCATCGTGCCGGCCACGCAGACGGCCATCGTGCAGCTCCTGCAGGGCGAGCACATGCTGAGGAGAGGTACGTGCGCCAGCTTCCCGAGGGCACCCCGGCCTCCCGCCAGGCACAGCCCGGGGAGGCACGGGTGCGAGGAGGGAGCATCAACCTGCTTTGCTGTAAAAACCGGGGTGAGGAGGACGTGGAGAAACCACATAACCCTATTGTTAACAAGCCTGACGTTGCTCTATGTAGTGAGAAACTTAAGTGGTAAGTTAAGTGCAGCCAGCCTGAATCAGCTTCTGGATGTTCCTTGCCCGGAAAGATCCCGGTATTTCTCCTGGATTCCTTTTGAGATGTAGTAGCAAAATTACAGTGGGGACATCCTTGTCTTGTCTCTGGAATTGCTCTGGGCACCACGTTCCCTGGTGTAGCAAGGGGCCTCTGGAGATCTCCTCTGGAAATTAGCGCATTTAGAAGAGTTAATTTGCATGCATCGCCCGAGTTATACATTGGTTTGCTGCTGTACATGCTGCGTCCAGATCATTTTTATCATTTTTATGATCTTATGTTTTGACATATGCAGATAAATAGAGTATTTAAATATTTTGCTATTAGGTGGATATATGAGGTTGTTACTTATATTTTCCTTATGTAAATTGATTCGCTTTGTGTAATGTTGAACTACAGTGAAATTTTTATGTAAAGCTCAACTGCCTGAAAGTCAACAGTGTTATTCTTCAGGTCACTGCTGGTGACTGTTAACCTCACAGAAATACAGAAGTGCCTGCATGTATCTTGTTGGGCTGCTSTGCTTGCTAGGAAGCATAGTCTTGGAGAACAGTTTAACTCTGTCATGCAGACATTACATAACAAATTTCCTTCTGACACTTAGTGCACGGCCCTGTTTTATTAAATCTGCCTTTTAATCTGCCTTTAAAGCATTTCTTGGCTCGTTTTTCATTATTTCTAAATTTGAAGTGGGCACCATGAGCCTGTCCAGCACTGGCACCCTCGTGTAGCACTGCAGGCTTGCAGGCTACTGTGGGGACTGATGCAAAGTGAGAATTTTGTAGACTTCTCTTGGTCATAACCCTGGAAAAATGGACGGTTTTGGTGTTTTTTTTTTCTCCCACATCTTCGTGGTCTTTTATTTGGGGGGAAGCACTTCTGCTTAGGAGAGCTGAATTAGTTTCACGTAAGATCTTGTGGCAAGACAAAAGAAGGATCAGCCAGACCACTTGAAGTCTTAAATACCCATCAAATTTTTAAAACAAGGCAAGGCAAGAATTTAGGACAAATTCCAATAGGCCTACGTCTTTTTAATCAATAGCAGGCTGCTGCTTAATATTCTGCATTAGAAACTGTTCTAATTTCTATTTTTCTTTTCTTTCCCTTTCCCTGACCTCCCACCCCGAATTTCTCAGGTTGGCCCCCTCACCGGACTCTCCGAGGCCATCGAAACAAAATTACATGTTTACTGTATCCTCACCAGGTTTCTTCTCGTTATGATCAAAGGTATTTGATCTCAGGTGGTGTGGATTTCTCAGTCATCATATGGGATATATTTTCTGGAGAGATGAAACATATCTTCTGTGTGCATGGTGGAGAAATTACACAGCTTCTAGTTCCACCAGAAAACTGTAGCGTAAGTTTGAATCCTTCTCGAGAATGTGAATGTAACGTAACACACTGAAGAGTTAGAGCTGAGCCAAAGTGTAACGCCTGCAGATGTTTAAAACCAGTTTAATTGCTCTGTTGATTTCATTTGTGTTTAAAAGTAGGATTAAAAATAGTGGGAAAAATGGATATTAAAACATAGCTAAGGAAATGGTTGGCATTACATGATAGRCAGCATTAACAGTGGGAGAAGGTTTTTACAACGTGGAAGTGAAGGCAGAGACTTTGCCCAAAGGCCCTTGGGATGCGCAGGAAGCATCCACCATGCAGCAATAATTTTTTTCCCCTTTATTTCCCTTTGTCTCCTATTGTTTTTTGAACATTTTTTCTGTTTTACTTATCCTCATTTTCTTGCTGCTTTCATTTCTTGCTCCCATTTGCTCTATTTTTGCACTGCTTAGCTCTGCTAAYGTGGTCTATTCCTCCCTAGATCCTGGCTTTAAAAATACCTAAGAAGTTAGCTTGTTGTACTAAACTAAGTGTAAATGGAAGATTTTATGTAAAAGTTTATCTAATTATTAGCCTGATGATAAAGTCTAGGAAAAACTGGGAAAAAAAATCAATATATAAAATTTAAAACCATAATTTAAAACCCAATAAACTGTGAGTAGCTCTTTTAAGTAACTTTACCTGCAGCAGTGTTTAATTGTGCATGCAGGACAATATAATTCTGTGTAATAAATCCAAATGCTTGGCTTCTGTTTTTCTTTGATTTGCCAAGAAACATGAGTCAACATTCCTGTCTTTCACAAGAAAAACTAAACATAAGCAAAAGGATTGAGTGCAGGTAGTCTGTATTTTGTTTTAAGTTGAACTGCTTTATCAATTGTCTGAATCTGCTTTTCAAAAACGTGTTTTATTATTTTTGTGACAGTTTTGAACCTTTCACAGGTATTTTCCTTTCAAATGTTAAATATTTGAAAAGCAGGTGAGGGGGGATTTTATTTTCCTTATGGGACAATTGCAAGCTGTCCCTGGTGGTCAAAGAAAGAAAGAAGGGTGTCGGCAGGGGGCTGCCTTGGCTTGGTCGAGTGTGCTGGGTGGGCTTTGAGCTGCAGCAGCGGAGCAGGCAGGGCCCTCYGGCACGAGCTCGAGAGAATCGCAGTGGGTGACGTTTGGTTCTGGTGAGGTCAGGAGGGATTTTGCTCTGGGCTGAYGTGCTTGAGGTTTGCTTATCAAATGGGTTGTTTATTACCTGAAGAGTCCAAAGAATATATATTTTTTTAATTGTACTGTTTCATCAAATGCAAGCTAGTCACAGTATGATCAAAKTAATGCAGGTGTGCTGTTTGTTTCTCTGAAGGCGCGAGTCCAGCACTGCGTGTGCTCCGTTGCCAGCGACCACTCCGTGGGCCTCCTGAGCCTGCGGGAGAAGAAGTGCATCATGCTGGCCTCCCGCCACCTCTTCCCCATCCAGGTCATAAAGTGGAGGCCCTCGGATGACTACCTGGTGGTGGGGTGCTCCGACGGGTCTGTGTACGTCTGGCAAATGGATACTGGTAAGGCTCAGTACAGAGACACGGATTTTAAAAAAGATATGTATGTATATACATACACACACACAGAGTTGCATCTCTGGGAGATGAGTTAATTATTTTCACATGTTTATCSTAAAAATTAGCTCTCCAGACATTCCTCAAATTTGTAGGTTGTGTAAGCATTTGTTAAATGCCTGTTTCAGTATTTGGAAGAATTCWTTTCATTTTGGAAAAGTCCACGTTGCCGTTTTTCCTGGGCATGATATCCCATTTAACAGTTGAATTGCAAACACTGGCACCACATAATGCATTAGTGTTTGTATAATTTACTTCCAGCTTAGTGTAGAAATGCAGCATCTTAAATGTACAAGAATTTCCACTCTTGCAGAGTGAAGAATAATCATAAATTGTTTTTTAAGTAATGGTTAGATTTTAGTTTTTGAGTAGTTGTTTTTGAGTAGTAGCCCGGTGGCGTCCGGGCGCCTTTGTGCCTCACGGGTGCCTTTGCCCCGGCGCAGGAGCGCTGGACAGGTGCGTGATGGGCATCACGGCCGTGGAGATCCTGAGCGCCTGCGACGAGGCGGTGCCGGCCGCCGTGGACGCCCTCAGCCACCCGGCCGTCAACCTCAAGCAGGCCATGACCCGCCGCAGCCTGGCCGCCCTCAAGAACGTGGCCCACCAGAAGCTGCAGACTCTGGCCACCAACCTCCTGGCTTCGGAAGCCTCCGACAAGGTGGGACATCCTTCGGAGTTCAGTGCAATGTTTATCTTCATAAACGTAATAGGGAAGGTCCTCATCGTTGTGAGCTGAGTGGGTCTTACCCAGAGTGCTTGGTAATTCTGATAATTGGTAATTCTTGGTAATTCTGAGACTTAGGCTGACTTTAAAGATTTAGGTCAGTTGCAGGATTTTATTTTCCTGGAGTGTAAGCTTCAGCCTTGGCCAGTGTAATTCTGTAGTTTCTGGTGCTGGTGGTACATTTTCTTTAAGATTTTCTTTGCAGTTTTCTTTCTTACATTTTTTTTCTAAGATTGTTCTCATATCTATGCAGCGTGCCGATCCATCTGCTCGCAAATGCATGGTTTATACGAGATGGCAATGCTCACGAAAGCAGATAATCGGAGCCCTAGTCCTTCAGGCTCTCCCTACAAGTTGTATCCGCCTGTTTGTCCCTGCGGAGCCGGCGGTGCCGGGAGAGGTGCCCAGCAGTGATCCCCGCTCCCGGGCTCGGGCTGCTGACAGCAGCCGCCTTTTCTGTTCACTTGCGCCAAGGCAGCAGCTCGGCAGGGGACGAAGGCCCTGGACCGGTCTTACCTGGGCCTGGCTGCCGGAAASCAAAGTTCGGACTAGGAGCTGGCTCTGTGCATTGGGACTCACTCATGTCCCGTATGGACGCAGGAATTTTTCCTCAATTTAAAGGTTTTAGCACATAGAATAGGAATCTACGTAGGTAATTCTAGTTGGAAGCAGTTAAGTTAAACTATAACTTTGTAAGCAAACAGACACCTAAGGGCTATAAGCTGCTCACTGTGGCTCCGAGCCCTCCCGCTGCTGCTGCGGCTGCACGAAGGTTCTGCTCGTTCCTTATGGAAGCGGRAGCTTCCCCAGTCACTGCAGAGTAATGAGGGTTGGGAGGAACTGCCTTTCTTTTTATTTACCTTTATCTTTTCTCGTTTGTATGTTTGTTTTGTGCTCCCTGCAGTAATGGGTTTAGTGGATTTCCGTTCTGGAGTCTTCCATTCTGGGTTTCCGTTCTGAGCTGCCCTTTCACTGTTTATGCATTGGTTGTTCATACGTTGGTACTGCTTTCACTGTCTTTTTCTCTGGGTTTAGCAAGGATGTAAGGATATGCACAAAACTATTTTACCTTTCAGATGGGTGGTGATAACTACTTAATACCACCAACCCAAACAATCCCTTCAATATTCTTCTGCATGTTCCCTAGTTTACACTGYTGTTTTTGATGCTTCCTGCTCTTTCCGTTTATATTTATCATTGTTTCTCAGATTGAGACTTTAAAGATCTGGGTTTGCTACCACTTTATACTCACGCAGTTGTGCTCCCGCTGTTAACTGCATAGACAGGGATCCAGCCTTGCTCCCGATCCACGTGGAAAAGTTACCCTTTGGCTTTGCACTAGCATTGAGGAATGGGATCAGCATTGGTTTATGTTTTATTCCTCCCCTCCCATACTGCACGTTGTAAATATATACAGGGAAGATTTATACCTACATATACATCTTAAATTTCAAAACTATGTAATACAAAAAGTAGCTTTAACATTTTAACATTAGTTTTAACATTCTGAGCAGCAAACAGAGTACATGGAGGTTGTATCCCACGAAAAACTAGTACTGTGTAAAATGTTTATGGAGCTTCACTATGGAGGACAGTACAGCACAGGAGGCTAAATATTCTCTGAATTTTGCTTTGCTACTGTTCCTATTAAATCTGTTTTAAAGTAACGCAGCCCTGAGGCCTTTCAAACGATCTGTTCTCGTTTCTGGATGTGTGGTCAGTGCTCCTTGAGCAGGAGCTGGGCTCGCCGCTCTCCCGAGCTCCTTTCCCATTCACACCCATTCCCGCTATGATCCCACATGCTGCCTGGCTTCCTCCCCCAGCAGTGACCTGTCAGAGTAGGCTAATTGATTAATTAATTACCCCGTTCTTGCGGYGTACAAGCGTGGCCGGGCGCTGGGAGCCTGCGTTGCTGCGTGGTGGAGCGGCGCGGASCTGCAGCGCGCCGCAGTTGGGGCTGCGGGCAGCAGAGGGGAGCAGAGATGTGCGGCCGGCGGCTCCAGGACTTCTCCCACGCGCTGAACGGCATGTTTTCCAAGCAGGATGGATGGAGACCACTCTCCATTACACCTCYTGCTGCCACAAGGATGTGTTCAGGCTTGGCTAGCGTTCCTGCCCGGTGCACAATCACCTTCCACGTGTGTACACCTGAGCGTGGTAGGTGCAGGTGTCTCCCTGTGCTCTCCATCCCAGCACACACAGGGCAAAAAGAGCRTGGTGATGATTAGGAACGAAGGTGTTTTTGTTATGTTGTTGCTGCTAATGTTGTCATTGGGACCCACTTGACATTCTGAGAAAATAACAACTGGATTTACAATAAATAAGGGGTGTGTAAATAGATCGGTGCATTGTAGAACATGAGCAGTTATTATTCATTGACATTTAATTATTTCTATTCTAGTTCCTAATATTTGCTGCTCATGACAAAGTTATGCTTATTTAATAACTTCTTTATTCTTAGAAGTGACCACAGAATAAAAGGGGTCAGAACTGGGGTGTTTGCTCATGTGCAGACTCTAGGCCCTTGTTTGTTTATGTAGCTTTCTGAACTAACTGGTCYTGCAGCTTCTCCAAGAAGAAAAGAGCTAGAAGGTGACGGTTTCCATTTAATTCTTATTTCTCTATGTAAGTGAAGCAGGTTTTAATTTGAGGAAGGACAGAAATTAAGAATTATTTAATTCTTCTGGAGCCGCCCATGTTACTGAGGATTTTACCGGGTCTGCCTTTCTTTGGTGGTGTGTTCAGAGCACATCTCTTCAGGTGTGCGTGTGCATATGCTGCTGTTGCCTTGGTCACTGGCGTTTTTCACAAAATTTGTCCATTAGAGTAGTGTAAGTGTTTAAAGAGCACTCTTCAGAGCTGCTGTTGGTGATATTTTAGTAGAGAAAACCTCTTACAATGTGAGGAGATGTCAAAGGAGACCTTCCTTCAAGGCACTTCCTTCAAGGTTGTCTTTTCATAGACAAAAGACAAACATGGCAATGAGATATAAAAGAAAATTGGTCAGTGGTGGCTTTGGTGCCTGAAACTCGGCTGAGGCCATGAAAACATCAGGCGCCATTCACTGCACATGAAGCATAACTTATCTTTTAGAATTCATCTCTTGCATAGCAAGTGTGAAGTTCCTTCTTGTTTAGAGGTCTATATTTATGTGAAACTTTTCTAAGCAGTATTTTGTAGTTTAGGGATGTCTTATTTGATCACAAGCTTCATATTCCTGATATATAAAAGCAATATTCASAGAATCCCARGATGGCTGAGGTTGGAAGGAACCCCTAGAGCTCACCCATTCCAGCCCCTGCTCCAGCAGGGACACCCAGAGCTCGGRGCACCYGGTCACATCCCGGCGGGTTGGCAGATCTGCAGAGCAGGAGCCTCCGCAGCCTCCCTGGGCAGCCTGGGCCAGGGCTGGGCACCCTCACCCCAAACAAGYTCTTCCTCACGGGCACATGGAGCTGCCTGCGCTGCAACTGGCACCCACTGCCCCTTGTCCTGGCACTGGCCACCACYGAGAAGAGCTTGGCCCCTTCCTCCCTACATTCCCCCTTCAGCTGCTTACACACATTGATCAGATCCCCACTCAACCATCTCTTCTCCAGGCTCAACAGGCCCCGCTCTGTTAGTCTCTCCCGTACGACAGATGCTCCATTCCCTTAATCGTCTTTGTTGCCCTCCGCTGGCCCCTCTCCAGCAGCTCCACGTGCCCCTTGTGCTGGGGAGCCCAGAGCTGCCCCCAGTGCTCCAGGTTTGGCCTCCCCAGGGCTGAGCAGAGGGGCAGGATCAGGATCCCCTCCCTGCCCTGCTGTCAAGGTCCTCCCGATGCAGCCAGGAGCCCACTGGCCACGGGGACCCTGCTGCCCCATGGGCACTTTAGTGTCAGCCAGGACTCCCAGGTCCCTCTCCGTGGAGCTGCTCTCCAGCAGGTCAACCCCTGATCTGTGCTGGTGCCTGGGGTTAYTCCTCCCCAGGTGCAGGACCCTGCTCTTGTCCTTGTTGAACCTCATGAGGTTCCTCTCTGCCTGACTCTCCACCCTGTCCAGGTCCCTCTGGATGGCAGCACAGCCCTCCAAAGTGTCGGCCACTGCACCCAGCTTGATGTCGTCTGCAAACGTGTTCAGGGTGCGCTCCGTGCCTTCGTCCAGGTCATTGATGAACAGGTTGACCAGCACCGGGCCCAGTACTGACCCTGCGGGACACCACTGGCCACAGGCCTCCAGCTGGACTCGGCCCCATTTATCACCTCCCTCTGAGCTCTGCCATCCAGCAGTTCTCAATCCACTTCATAGTGTCTAGAAAGAATACTGTAAAAATGTCATATCATGCATTGCACCTGCATGAACGTTCAAAGCTTCCTCAGTATTCGAATGAGCTTTATGAAAAGTGTTAAGCAATTCAATTAAAACTTTTTGTTTGTTTGTTTCATTACAGGGGAATTTACCTAAGTACTCCCATAACTCCCTGATGGTTCAAGCTATAAAGACCAACCTAACGGATCCGGATATACACGTGCTGTTCTTTGATGTAGAAGCGCTGATTATTCAGCTGCTGACGGAGGAGGCCTCTCGGCCCAGCGCTGCCCTTATTTCCCCGGAGAATTTGCAGAAAGCCTCCGGCAGCTCTGACAAAGGCGGCTCCTTCCTGGCTGGTAAGCGAGCAGCAGTTCTCTTCCAGCAGGTCAAGGAGACCATCAAAGAGAATATAAAAGAGCATCTTCTCGACGATGAAGATGAGGATGAAGAATCAATAAGACAAAGAAGAGAAGACGGTGACCCAGAATACCGCTCCAGCAAATCCAAACCATTGACCTTGTTAGAATATAATCTAACCATGGACACGGCAAAGCTCTTTATGTCCTGTCTTCACGCGTGGGGCTTGAATGCTGTCCTGGATGAGCTCTGCCTGGATCGCCTTGGGATGCTCAAGCCGCACTGCTCCGTGTCCTTCGGCCTGCTGTCCCGAGGCGGCCACATGTCCCTCATGCTCCCTGGCTATAACCAGGCCATAGGTAAACAGTCGTATGAGAGTGCACAGGTGGGAAGGAAAATGTCCATTACCGAGGGCCTGGGAAAGGGGACATACGGCGTGTCCCGTGCTGTCACCACCCAGCATCTCCTCTCCATCATTTCCCTGGCAAACACACTGATGAGTATGACTAACGCAACGTTTATTGGAGACCATATGAAGAAAGGTCCCACCAGGTATGGAAAGTGCTCATTTTGTTTGACTTGCGGTAACTTTCTTTCAGAGTTGATATTTTAATACAGATTTAAATTTATTTATTTTTTCACTTGGTCTTGAGGTATTAATGTCTGTGATGACCTTTGATGTCTAGGTAAACAGAATGCATTTCTTCTTTCTTCAGTATACCATTTTTCATGCCAAGATGGCTTAATTTAATGGAGTTATGTAAATTAATATAAYGTTGGGTTACCATAATTTGCCTTGATAAGGCTGAGAAGCCATTCTTGTTCTTTATTTTTAATGGTTATTGTTTTTAAAGAGTCTTATAATTATGAGGTCAAATTATGAATTAGTGAAAATGTATACATAGCCTTTTCATTGTGTTTCATCAAAGAATAAACCAGGATTTGTAGTTGACACCTGTTTTTGAAATCCAACTGACTTTTCTTACAGTTTGCTTTTCAAAATTTGGTTAGTTACAGTATCTTTAGCAAATAATCTTCTTTTTTTCCCCTTCCTCCGCTGTTTCTCCTGTCGCTCTTCACACACACTTTATATTTAGGCCTCCTAGACCAGGAACTCCTGAGATGACAAAAATGAAGGCCCCCCCTTCAATATCAAGTCATGCAGCTCAAGGACAAATTAAGCAAGGTAAAAATCACCTTCTCTAAAACGATATCTCATTTCAGAGCTTGACACTGAAGTTGTCAACTTACTATCAAGTGATGAAAAAAAAAATACTACTAGCATCTACATAGGGGGGAAAAGGTAGTGTAATATTCTAGGCAAAATTTTTAATGACTAAGAGCTTTATAAAAATCTATACAAGGTGCTGGTGCTGTCATGGAGTCATTCTCTGACATTGAATGTTTGCATATTTTAAGTGCTGCCAAGCATTCTGCWCTTGAGCATCAGGTGACAGTCGCACATTTGAAGTCTGTATCTAAGTGGGGCACACACTGGCCCAATGCAGGAATGACACAGTACTTCTAAGCTAAAGTTTAAAGATATATATTTGCAAGTAATATATACACGTTATGAAGGCAAATGTTTATTTTAACTCTGTTTTTACCTCTGCTACTGCTGTCATTAATTGCAATTATCAGAGATGGCAATGGATGATGGTTTAATAGTATTTTCTAGTTTATAGAAATTTGTGCTTTTCTCAAGCACAACTTGTGCTTGAAAGCACAAGTTGTGCTTTTTGAAAGCACAACAATTAAGTATATGGATACAAAACAGTATGTGATATAAGAGAAGGATGTGTCCAAGATTAGACAAGAGTTTCCTATTGGAAATATTGGCTCCCCCAGAAAGAGGAGGCAAGAGYGACTCTAGATCAGGTCGCTGCTCTTTGATGGGGCAAATGAACTAATTCTGCCAATGCCAGAAATAAAATAAAAGTGAAATACCACAATGCAGCCGTTTTTCACTTGAGCACAAAATTAAGGAGCTGTTGGACAGAGAACAGAGGTAGGGATGCTGGGGTGCTGCTCCCCGGGATGCGGCTTCCCGGGATGCGGCCAGCATTGCTCATGGTGGAGAAGGGCAGCGCTCCTGTGGGGCTGCTGTGGGGAGATGCAGTGTGACCCKTTGGGGATGCAGGTGACTAAAACCCTGCCCAGCGTGCTGGAATGGGGCACTGGCGACAGGAGAGCAGCTGAAGGCTCTCACGGCCTGGGGAGCTCTGCGCTTTCAGGGAGCAGGTGGTGTTGGAGAAGCGCTCCGGCTTGGGGAGCCGCTTCGCCACGCGCTGACATGGGGACAGGACCCTGGCGGCAGCCCCCAGCCGCACAGGGACACTGGCCCCTTCCGCTGCGCGATCCGGGATGCGCGGGACGAGCAGCAGGGGCAAGAGCCAGGCCAGGAATGCGCCCCAGGAGATCGGGGAGCGCACCTGGCTTCCGGGCGGAAAGCATGGCTTTGGGGGGCTGTTTTGGGGGCTTTTTTTTCTTTTTGTTTYGTTTTCAAAATTTTTTTATTTTGAAAAAGAAGTGCTTGAAAGATCAAGATTTCCCGGAAATCATGTTTATATGACACGTTCTGTTTTTCCTTTTCCTTTTTTCCTTTTCCTTTTTTCCTTTTCCTTTTTTCCTTTTCCTTTTTTCCTTTTCCTTTTTTCCTTTTCCTTTTTTCCTTTT